TGGCGGTGGTCGCCGCGGGTGAACTGCGCTCCGGCCGCCATTGCCAGACGCAACGCGGTCTCCGCAGTGATCGGCTCGCGATTGGCGGTGCCCCGTACCCCGTCGGTGCCGAAAAGCTTGCGAGTCATGGCGAGGTTGAAAAACTCCGATTCTACGAACTCAGGCTGGCTTATAGCAAAGACGACGCCGTTAGAGCAGGGTTGCTTTGGATAGAATCGCCCCCTTCATCCCATCTAAAGCGTGAATTTTACTCTAATCGATCAGTCTCGAGTGCGAGTCCCGCAACCGCTGCCGGCGATCGCGGACCAAACCCGCAGGGCCTGACAGGTCTCGGCCACATCGTGGACCCGGAGGATCTGAGCACCGCGCTGTACCCCCGCGAGGGCCGCAGCCAGACTGCCTGGAAAGCGCTGCTTGGGCGCCGGCCCCTCACCCGGCATGAGCCTGGAAATGAAGGACTTGCGCGATACGCCCAGAAGCAGCGGACAGCCGAGACCATGGAACAACGCCAAGTTGTCGAGCAGGCTGAGATTGTGCTCCAGCGTCTTGCCGAAGCCGATCCCGGGATCGACCGCGATACGGCCACGAGGAATGCCGGCGGCCAGGCAGGCCTCTACCCGCGCCTCCAGCCTGTCGAAGACGTCCAGCGCCACATCCACGTAGCTGGGATCGGTCTGCATGCTGCGCGGGTCGCCCTGCATGTGCATGAGCACCACCGGCAGGCCGAGCTCGGCCGCCGTGTCCAGGCTGTCAGGTTCGCCGGTCAGCGCCGTCACGTCGTTTAGAATTCTCGCGCCGGCTTCAGCGGCCGCCCGCATCACGGCAGGCCGGCGCGTATCGACCGACACGACCAGGCCGCGCTCGGCCAGGGGCTGGATCACCGGCAGCACGCGGCGCAGCTCTTCGGCGACCGGAACCGGCTCCGCGCCGGGGCGGGTCGACTCTCCGCCGACATCCAGGATCGCCGCTCCGACCTCCGCCATGGCGAGCCCCTCGGAGACTGCCCGCTCCGCCTGCAAGCGATCGCCGCCGTCGGAAAAGCTGTCGGGCGTGACGTTGATGATGCCCATGACGAGGGGCTGGTCCAACGGCAGGCCGGCAAAGGCGGGACGCGGCGCGGAGATCAGCGCCGCTCGATCCGCCAGGGCTGCAGGCACGCGCGCGGGAGGCAGCAGCTCGTCCCGTCCGTCGCGGTGCCGCAGAATGACCGAGGCGGCCGAGAGCGCCCCGGCAACCCGTAACCCCTCTGGCAGGGCCTGCCGGGTCAAGGCTGTCGGGAGAAGGTACGGCACTGAACCCATGACGCGCGGAGACTTGAAAGATTTGGCACCTTGAACCCGGTGCAGTCCGAGATCAAGGTGGCGATGAACGGAAAAGACAACGCCCCTGCCGCAAAGCAGGGGCGCGTCCAGGTCGTGTTTGGTCGAGGCCGACCGAACCGGTGTCGGCTCGGCGTCCTACTGGGCCGGTTCCGGCTCGGGACCGATGCCGCTGTCCTTCGGCCGACCGCTGGAGGGCACGGAGGACCGCCGTCCNNCCGCTCGGCTGCTGGGGCTTATCGTTCGGATCGCTCCGGTCGACGGCCTCGCCGCGCAGGACGCGCTGAACCTCCTCGGCACCCAGCGTCTCGTACTCGAGCAGGCCCTTTGCCAGCAGATGCAGATCGTTCATGTGCTCGTTGAGGATCTCGTGAGCCTTCTTCTCGGCCTCGTCGATGATGCGGCGTACCTCCTCATCGATCAGCCGCGCGGTGGACTCAGAGACGCTCTGCTGCCGCGCCACGGAGTGGCCGAGGAAGACCTCGTCCTGATTCTCGTTGTAGCGCAGCGGGCCCAGCTTCTCCGACATGCCCCACTCGGTGACCATCTTGCGGGCTAGGTTGGTGGCCTGCTGGATGTCGTTCCCGGCACCGGTGGTGACGTTCTCCTTGCCGTAGATGATCTCCTCGGCTGCGCGGCCGCCGAACATCATCGCAAGCTTCGCTGTGATTTCCGACAGCTTGTAGCCGTAGCGATCCCGTTCGGGGAGGTTCATGGTGACGCCCAGCGCACGGCCGCGCGGAATGATGGTGACCTTGTGCAGCGGATCGTTGCCCGGCACGAAGAGACCGACCAGGGCGTGGCCGGCTTCGTGATAGGCCGTCAGCTCCTTCTCGTCCTCGGTCATCACCATGGAGCGGCGCTCGGCCCCCATCAGGACCTTGTCCTTGGCGTTCTCGAAGTC